GGTGGGAGGGAGGGAGGGTCGAGAGAGAGAGCGGCATGGCGACAATAGGATAGAACATGGAATACACACATAGATCTATTATTGCAAGTGTGGAGTGAAAACGGGTGAACTCGTGTCTTTAGAACGTTAGGAAAACGGATGTAGAAGTAGGGAAACTAGAATGTGGGATGGGATAATGGATGCACAGCTTATTATGTTTGACCGCTGAATCACAGTGGACCGGTAATTAAGCCAGCGCCTATTATTATTATTATTATTATTATTATTATTATTATTATTATTATTATTATTATAGGTCTATATAGACTCTATATTTATGTCATTTTAAAAGTTACTGCAGTTGGCCTACTAATTGTTTCGAAAAAAAAAAGAGGCCGCGTGTGTAAAGTACATGCTAGGTACTCCTCTAACAATGTTCCTGGACTGATACAACTTTTGATAAAAATCACATTTGAATGTTTTGAAGGCAGAAAAATATTGATCGTAATTGTAGGAGAGTATACATGTAATATAATGACGTTATTGGATTACTTTATAATCTAGGCCTATGATTGCGTGTCAGCCAGCTGTTGTCTATTTTCGTGTAAAAACGACGCAATACCAAACTTGCCACGTAAGTATTCGGTGTCGACTACACGTAAGTCATTTCTTACAGTTAATAGATCTTGATCTAGATCTAGATTAATTTTAAAAATAAGAACAAAAGAGAAGAAATAAATAAAGCTAGGTCGATGTGCGTCGTAAAACACCAAATGGGGTGATAGTTCTATATATTCACTGTCACTCTTTCGAAGTGTAACTGCAGAAAATAATAATAAATTATTTTTCTTAGCAATCTTAGCCTAGTTCGGTAATTTCATAACAACCGACTGACAGGGAACCAATGTTGTCATACGCTCGCGTTCTCATTGGTCCAGAGCTTCACGTGGCACTCTCCAGCTTGGCCAGTTTTACACGCCGCTCGATGCCACGTCGCGGTTGCGCGGGCCCACACCACATCGCACTCTCCTTCTTTCGTTGGATGATGAAATCGCAAGCAACGACTCTTCCACTTCCAGGCCTACCTGCCACTGCGCTATACTATCGTGCTGGGCGGCTAGGTTTCCGATTATTGAAAGCTAGGAATCGTAGGACTCGACTCCGAACCCCATTAACTTGCTTTTTAATGATGTTATTTCTTCCGGTGCCCACCTGGTTAGCTCCGAACATCTTCAGGATTTAGGATAATCTTGATTTCTGAACATTACGAAGCATCAACTTTTATCTATCTAAATACATTCTTCAAAAAAGAGAAGATTTCAATGATTAAGGTATCTGGTAACCATTGGTTAACATAAAAAGGAGTCGGAACTTTTCTTCCGTAGCATTAATTGTGAGAATCGGTTCTGGATTCGATTCTTCGCCCAGCTCTACTATACTACGCAACGTCCTCTTCTTTGTTTTGCTCAACGTTAGCGTAGAACATGCTAGAAAAAAACGGGTCACTCGTTGGTTCGTTGACTTCGCGTTGCACCATTGATTATGAAAAGAGAGTTTTTCTTAGGAACTAGATCTAGATTTAGGTTTACGACGTAAACATGAACATAGCACGGATCTGGTGTAACCTCCACGAAATACTGTCCGTACTGACACAGTGATGATGAAACTCGGAGCAAACATGTTTGTTGTGTGTGTCGGTTGAGAATGTGAAGGCATGTTAAAATTATTATTACATCATACACACACACACACACACACACACACACACACACACATATACACACTCACAAACACACACACACGCACACAAACACATATACATAAACACATACGAATACATACACAAACACACAAACACACACACATCAGCACACACACAAACACATACA